GTCTACGTCAAATTCTAGGTCTTCAGGACACATTCATTCTTAAAAAAAAAGACTCCTTTCCCCTCTTCTCCCCTCCCCAACTAGTTTAATTTACATCCTGATGGAACCTTTCTCTCCTCCTCTCTCCTCCCAGTTTCTCCTGGTTCCTTCCCCTTTCCCCATCCTCCTATCCTCCTTTTCTCCTCAGAAAAGGGAGGCCTCCAGAGGCTAGCAATCTGCTTTGGCATATCAAGTTGCAGTAGGACTAGGCACAGCTTCTCCTATTGTGGTTTGATAAAGCAGCCCAGTTAGAGGAAAGGAATCCAAAGGCAGGTAACAGAGTCAACATAGCCCCTGCTCTTGCTGTTAGGAGGCCCACATGAAGACCAAGATACACAAGTATTATACATGTGCAAAGGGCCTAGTTCTGTCCGATGCATGCTCTCTGCTTGACAGTTCACTTTCTCCAGGTTAATTGATACTGTAGGATTTCTTGTATTATCCTTGACTTCTCTAACTCCTTCAATTCTTCCTCCCTCTCTTCCACAGGAGTCCTCAGGCTTTGCCTAAGTTTGGCTGTGGGTCTCTACATCTGTTTTCATCAATTGCTGGGGGAAACTCTCAGATGACAGCTATGCAAGGCACCTATCTGCAAGTTGCCACAGGGTTCTCTCCCCCCCACACCCACCTCTCTCTGTTTGTGTATGTAGCCCTTGCTGTAGTGGAGCTCACTTTGTTGAACAGGTTGGCAATGAACTCAGAGATTTGACTGTTTCTACCTCCCAAGTGCTGGAATTAATGGCCTATGCCACCACTATTCTCTTAAACTGGACTCTGTGTCCCTCTGTAACATTTAGAATGTTGATTAATCTGTTGGATGGATTCAATTTCTTCACCAAACTCCTCACTCAAAAAAAAAGTGGCCAGGAATATCTTAAGAATGAAGTTGTCAAAAAAAAAAAAAAAAAAAAAAAAGAAGTTGTCCTCACTTTGACATCCTACAAGATTGCAAATTAGGTCAATCTAGCTCTTTTCTAAATCTCTTTTGTAGTGTTTTCTGAATTAGAGCATGGACCATTGTTCCAGGTAGGAACTTCCTGTGACAATTCTCTTTTTCTTCTCTGAATCTATTTAGTTGCTAAAAACTATTATTCCACCAGACAGTGGTGGTGCATGCCTTTAATCCCAGCACTTGGGAGGCAGAAGCAGACAGATTTCTAAGTTCGAGGCCAGCCTGGTCTACAGAGTGAATTCCAGGACAGCCAGGACTACACAGAGAAACGCTGTCTCGAAAAAAAAAAACAAAACAAAAAACAAAAAACAAAAACAAACAAAAAACCCCATTATTCCTTTTTATCAGGGTATATTAATTCTACAAGGTGACATTTCATTGTGACATTTTCATATATACACACAATGTGCTTTGATTATATTCACGTTTGTCCACTCTTCTTTTTTCAAAATTACTAAGCATTGTCTCAGTATCTCAGTTTTTCATTCCACTGATTTGGTCTTAAAATGTCAATAAAGTAAACCCCTCTGCGCTTGTTTCTTTCATTCTACAAATCACTCTTCACCTAACCTAGTCTTTATAAACAAGAACCTAATAGTGTCTTTCCTGTACTTAAAATTAAATAACACCTTCTACCTTCAACAATAAAAATAGAATGTCTTCTTTACAAGTCCTTAGACCCAATAACTCGATTTCAACGTCTCCAGGTTAAATTAGATAATGCTAGTAGCTGTAACATATTGTCCAGATACTTGGTTATCAAGGTGAGCTTTTTCTGATTGAAGAACTGATCTTAGCACTGAATAGGAGAGAATTTGATACAGTATTTCAGAATGGAGATATCTTTCTGCTTTACTATAACATGAGGTCTTATCATCTGCAGTAAGATACTGGAAGAACAATAAAAGCACGTCATCTAATTTTTACATTCCTGTCTTGGAAGTAACAGCTTTGTTCTGTTTCTTAGCTGACACTAGTACTATTTCAATCATACCTGGAAACAAGGCAATATATTTCTAGGGCAAACAACCACTGCTCAGTAACAATTACTTCCATTAGAAAAAGGAACACAAGTTTTGGTTTTAAAAGTAACTTTTAGTCTCCTATAGTTGTTCCTTTGGAGGCCCTTTGCCTCAGTCAGCTAACCTAGGCCTAGGCCTGGAAGCTTCTAGCCTCCGTACAGTCTTACCTTGGTCTAGAATGCTTTCAGCCTCTGAGACTTACTGCTGAATAAACTTACCCTTTCTAGTTTTTTCTGAACTCTGGCTGTCTGGTTCAACTCAGACGTTCTGACTCAAATTCCTTTCCAAGCTGAGTGATTTAACCTAACTTCTCTCAGTTTCTGATGGAATTGCTCTGCTTAGCCTCATACTAACTTGGGCAATTTGTTCTGAATCTTCTGGCTCCTTCTCTTTTCTGGCTGGATCTATCTTCCACTTTAACCTGTCTCTGTAAAACTTTCCCAATAATGCTGCCTCCTTCTCCTTCTCCCACTCCCCACTGCCCCTCAAGTTCCTGCCCCTTTCATACTCTTTTCCTGAGAGTTGGGCATATCCTATTTTGTCAGATCTTTCTCTGATTCATCACTTTGTCTGCTACTCAATTAGACATCACTTTCAAACTTGGTTGGTTCTTTCTACAAACTAATCTTACCTTTATTGTTTGGGATTAAAGGTGTGTACTAAGGGTGTGTCCATATTCCTGCCAGAGCGATTAAATGTGTGTGCTGAGGCTGAGCCACACCGCAGCTAGGAACAGGTTTTTCTGGTAAACACAATCTTGGAATTCACACTAGGATCAAATATCCAGCAACATTTGGTCTCTGTTGCAAACTGAGGACTCTCTGTTGATTCCATCCATACTTTTCTGCTGAAACTATACATGTTTGTATTCCTGAAGTACATGACTGCCTCTCTCTCCATTAGTTCTCCCTTGTACTCATGGCTGCTTCCTACCTTTTCCTTAAACACTTAAGATGAACCATCTATTCTAGAAAGCTATCTTCACTGCTTTTTCTTCATTAATAACCTCTTTGTGCAATCCATATGATATTATAGTAATAAACATCTGGATAATCTTGATGAGCTTCTAAACATTATTATTTTAAAATGTCAACTTTCTATTTTGCAAAAGGGCCTGAAAAGCTTTGGATTAAATATATGGCTTATTTGGAGTTGTTTTTTGTTTCGTTTGTTTTTTTATTACAAACATCAGGAAATAGTTCTGTTAAGTAAAAAGACCTAAGATTTATAAAAAGATATGCTTAAATGCTTCGTTGCTCATTTATTTTAGAGAGGCTTTTGTTTTAAATTTAGTGGAAAATCCCTAATGAGAGTACTCTTTTTTTTCCGTCAATAGGAAATTCCATTCTTTCTCTTTCTGGGAAGGCTCCACCCTGCATTTCCAAGCTTGTCCTGCAAGTTATGAATCTTTTTATCCTAATTCAGACTAAGGGAGGTGAATAGAAGTGATAGATGTTATCAGCTCATTCCTTGGCTCCCCAGATCTCTCTGTGTGGCTAAGCATTTTCTCTTCCTTTGTGTATGGACCCTATGTTAAAAGCCTCTAACAACCTAAAAAGATATATACTAAAGATTACACAGGATGGGGCTTAGCATACTGCTAGAAAGCAGCAGCACGCCTCCCACCACACACACACACACACACTCACCTCAAGCCCCCCCCCCCCACACACACACACACACCACCACCACCAAATACAAAGTGAGCCACTACCTGGCAGGGGTAGCCCATGAAGCCCTATCTCGATGATTCCCCTGTGGCCAAGACTGTCTTGGAGCTACTGGTAACAGAAGTTAGCCCAGGAAACACAGCAGAGGTGAAAGCAGTAGGAAGACTTACTTACACAGTCTGCCCTAATGTTTTCAGCTCTACAAGGTTTGACCTATAAATAAACTTCAACTGCTTAAGTTAAAACAAACAAACTAAGAAAACAGACTCCCAAATAGTCATAACTATACTGTACAATTCAAATGAAGTGATCCCGTTTTTGCAAAGAGAAGGCAGTGAAGATCCGTGTTTGGTCCGAGTATGAAATCAGGTAAAGAGTAAAGATAAATATCCTGATTTCCTAACAGCAAGCCAGTTGAAGTTACAAATCACATTGAGCTATGTTAAGCTCCAGGTTCATTTCCTGAGCATTGCCACACTCTCAGACTCTTTTTATATGTGAGGTTCACTTTCCCATGCACCATTGCTTTCTATGGAAGAACAATATATTCTGTGTACACTGGTATTTATGTGTGTCCAGAAATATACACACACACACACAGATTAATGAGCCCCTTCCAAGATGCTTAGATCTTTAGTTGACTATACTTAGAAATGAACCAATCACAGGGAAAGAAGAGAGAGCTCTCTAATCAAAATTCACCTGTAACCCTTTCATCATCCTTTCATAACCCCGCATCCCCCAAGAGTACCAAATGAGTCATAAAACGCAGTCTGGAAAAAATACCTTCTGTGTCACAGGGAAATTTCATAGAAATGTCCACATCAGGCACACTACATCAGAAACTTTGAAGGTGCGACTTTCAAATGTAGTTTCAGCTGGGCAATTCTTCTCAGGCTGTAATCTGAGAAGCACCATTTTACTATACAAAGCAGATGCTGATTTTTCTGGTGAGTGAGCTACAGTTCAAACCAAACCTGAATGTTTTCCAGTTAAGGATGGTACTTTTTCCACGGACTGGAGTAAAAAGAAAGTAAAGACTGCTAACAGCAAACGGTTACATAAAAGCCACAAGATTTTTAGATTTTTTTTTTTCTTAAAGAGGAGAAAAATGCTGCTAGGGAAAGAGTTCAACAAACTTGAGAGTGCAAACAGGACGGATGGAACAGATGTGGTAATTGATATTACCACTTAGGAAAGTGTGCAAAGCAGGAAAGACATTTTGAGGAAGCCCGATTTCCCCCACAGAATGGTTGAGGTGAGCAGTGTAAAGAAAGTGCCTAGAAGAGGCCACTCCCCAGATGATAAATAGCCTACCTTTCCAAGGCCATCAAAATCCCACTTCCTTTTGCGTTGCCCGTGGGCGGGGCGCGCAAGGTGGCCTGCCCTGCCTGGCCTCTGAGCGCAGCTGGAGGAGTCTAGAGTGCAGGCTGAGCTCATCTAGAGTGAGTTCCTCTGAGAGGCTTTAGGGAAAGCTGGGCTGCAGCTGAGCCACTAGCAAGGGGTTGGGACTCACGACTGCCAGGAGCCAGCTGTCCACCTTGAGGAGCAGAAGGAGCCTCAGGTGAATCTCGCGTTCTGTGCGGTCCAGGACAGAGCTCTCGGTCTGTGCGCGCGCGGGAGCGGGCTACAGTGATGGGGCGCGGAGGTGAGGGTGGGTGGAGGGCGGGCAGGAGCAAGGGCTGTGGGCGGTTTGCTCAGGCGGCAGAGGTTATGGTTTGGAGACTGGGAGAAATGGCCTCGACTTGGGATCTTGACCCCGGAAGTGGGGAGGGAACTCAGCCAGAAGCCCTGCTGTCCCTGCCGCTGCTCAGCGGTCCACGCTCGTGACACTTCTTCCTTCGCTAGTTCCCGCTGGATCATCTTCAGTTTAGCACAGTGTTTCACAGCCTAGAGCAGCCTTGAAACAGTGTAGAAGCTGGGCTCACTTGTAGTGCACTTTCAAATGCCCGCAGAGCCCAAGTTGGATTCCCATTGCAGGAAAGGGAAGGAGGGAAAAAAGAAGAGAAATCATTCAAAGAGCCTGCTAGCTCTTTAACCCAGGTGTTCTTTGGGATTGTGGCTAGAACCCAAGCTATACATAGAGTTCTAGAATATAAAAGTAGGAAATATAAGGAGATAAAGGTCAGAGTGGGTAAGACCACTAGGTGAAGATTACATCTTCTGTTACATACCTTGGACTCTGACAGGGTTTCTTCATTTTATATTCATCTCTTCCCTGAAACTGTTAACAGTAAAAGACTTAAAGATTTAAGCCACTTTAAAAAGTCCCATCCCTTGGGAGGAAGAGGCAGACATATTTCTGAGTTTGAGGATAGTTTTGTCTAAAGAGCAAGTTCCAGGACAGCTAGGACCATACAAGAGAAACCCTGTCTGGAGCAAAACAAAACAAACAAACAAACAAACAAACAAAAAAGGAAAACCAACCAAAACAACCACAAAAAGAGCTGTCACTTTTGCATGAGTTAATATAAGCTGGACAAGGAATCAAGTGGAAATGTGGAAACTAGTTTTTAGTATATGAAATACAGCCCCCATGCCTACAACTCTCCCTCTGGTTCCTGTGTGGCTTGACTTCTGTAATCTTATTCCTGGAAGTTGGGTATGGCCACCTCCCCATTCGAAGACAAACAATTACACTTTCTTCCAGTTTAGCGGCTTAGCAGTTGGAGCTAAATAGTGGATACCAGTGAAGCTTAATAAAAAGCACTAGGCGCTTGGGGGAGGGGGGCGGGGGGCGGGGAGGCGTTTACTTTTTGAGTTTTCTTAACAACAGATTTTCTACCTGGATACTTACAACAATTGTGCTGCTTTGAATAATGAGCAAACATAAAGAAATAGAGTGTTCATAAACCAGATAGAGTTCCTGCTTCTGGGCAGTGCAACATGACCTCTCCCCCTCTGCTGTGTAACTCAAAGATTGTTCCTCCCCCCTGAATGAGATGAGCTTCGTGGCCTCGACTTGTTTGTAACCTGTTTGTAGTGCCCACTGAACATACCCACAGCCATAACTCTGTGGCCTGGCTTATGATAGATATTTTTCTTTGTGACTTTTTACTTGTCTTGATGGTACTGCAGCCACTGCTATATAAATCTGATCCCCTATAAACCTTTCTAATATCAAGATTTTTACTCATAGCACTTTCAATATTCTGTGTAATATACTTAGCTTTCTTATTAGTCCTGGGTCTACAGGTTTACTAATTGAAATATTTGTATACATCTTTGCATAGTCTATAGTATTGACTTATAGACTTTTTTTGCCCTCTCTATATACATTGTAAACAGTGTATATGCTATGTAGATAGTATAGACAGAATAGACTCTGTGGTATCCATGCATACCCCCTTGAAAACACAGGATGTTCACAAAGTGAATATTTCTTGAGGAAATATTTATATAAGTCTATATGCCTGCGTGTACACAACACACTGTTGTAGTAGAACATTAAATAAATAGAGCTCAGTGAAACCATCTATTTAGTTAATGTGTGTTAACAAGTGTTCTTTGTATTTTTCAAATTAATTTTTTTTTGAAAAAAAAAAAACTTACCTAACCACTAAATGGTTGACCCCAAGCATAATCTGGAACCCTAAGCTTTACTGTCTTACATAACAGAGAGCCACCCCTTTTAAAATTCATGCTAACAAGTTTCATTTGTTAGAAACTTGGAAGCCTTTTTCTTTTTTTCATTGAACCAGAGATAATAATATGAAGTTATGGAAATGAGCTGTCATAATTCATCCAGTTAGTGAACTGAGAAGCAGTAAACAACAACCTTGGCTCAGTGAATTCAAGGGCTTCATTTATAAGTAAACAAAAAAAATTAAAAGAAAACAATCTCAAAATAGTGTAAAATCATTGAACTTCCCAGAAGGGCATTTTGAAATCATATAGAAACTCTAGTAAGAGGAATTGGGTTTTGAGATGTATTTTTGCTTCTTTAAATTTACTTCTCACTTTTGTAGAACATTTGACAACTATGTTTTCAGTGGGTTCTAGTTGGTGTATAATCTATTTTCATTCAAAGTTTGCCTGTGTTTCATTCAGAGTTTAAGCTTGTTTGCTTTTTTGTGATCATGAAATACTGACTGGGATTTTGAGAAGGAAGCTTTCTATTTCAAAGGACTTTGTATTTGTAAGCAATGTACTTCTGGTACAGGTGCACAGTCATGGGTTCTGTTTCCCCAAATGCTTTCCAATGCATTGAAGCATTGTAGAAATGCATTGAACCATTTGTGGAAATATATTTGCATATTCATCTGCCTCAGTTTGACGATTACTGAACCCACAATTTGACAGATAAAATAATGTTTCCTTGTAAGTATTTACTAAAGCTTTCCAAAAGTACAAAGCCTACCTAAAAATGTTACTAAAATGTACCTAAAAATTATTTGATTTGTAGCTAAAACACAACCAAAAGTACCTGGAAATTAGTTGATATGTGACTTACTGCCACTATTTTGCCTTGCCACTTTTCCTATTGCAATTTTTTTCCTTTACCCACCATGAATCTCTTATTCAAATGTTCACCTCTTTGATATTCTAATGTTGGTTTTAAAGCAGTAGAGCCTTGCTGAGTTATATAGAGCCATGTGTTGACATTTGGACTGTGAAGAGAAACATGAGCTGGTTTAACCTGTGCATTGGGTGATTTACAGGCAGGCATGTGTTCTTATGTATTCACTAACAGGTAAATTCAGGTTAAATAGCCTCAACTTACTTGTTTTCTAGGCACAAATAATGTTCTAATACTCCAAAATGCTTTTAAACGCAGTAGAAATTTCAAGATTGCAAAAGACAGGTGTTCACTGAACCATGTCTGAATTGCGACAACATGATGATAATCCCTCATGGTGTCTTCCTGTCCCAGGTGGGAATGTTTTACAATTAAGAGAAAACTCAGAAAAGGACTGAAGAGATGGCTCAGTGGATGAAGTACCTGTGCAAACATGAAGGTTGGAGTTGGCAATTACCAGAATTCCACATAGAAGCCCAACAGTTGTGGTCACTGCCAGCAATCCCAGCTTGCAGGAAGTAGAGACCATGGCCCCAGTAATAGTCAGTCTCACTAGATAGACTAGCTAGAATTGGTCAGCATCAGGTTTAGTGAGAGTCCCAGCCTCAGTAAAGAAAATGAAGTACAATTGAGGAAAATCCCAGATGTCAGCTTTGGCTCTGTAAACCTTACTCCATGTCTACACACATGCAAACATACATAGACAAATACTTACATGCTTCATACACATTTAAAAGTAAGCATTTCTTAATTTAAAATGTTAATGAAAAACTAGAAAAAAATGGGTATTTGTGGTTGTAATAACAAAAAACAGAAATTACATATAACTGTATTTACATATACTTTCATCTAATATGTATAGGGTGCCACAATTTTCCATAAATGGATCACATAATATAGTAACAAAGAAAAAAAATAGTAATCAGGGTATTTCTTGAAGTTTCTTATTTGTTCTGGGTTAATTGTAAATCATTGGTGTAGTTTATATATGTTTATTACAAACTTTCCCCCCTTTGGGTACATCATAAATATCATTTTCTTTTTCATAAAAAAATAAATAACCTCCGCAAACTTAAACAGAAAAACAAGAGCAGAAAACATTTAAAAATCATCAGGTTAAAATAATGAATAATAATGAATAATGAATAAAATAAACTGGGAACACATTTGCAAGTTATTTTTAAAGCCGGGCGACATGTGAGCTGACAAAGCTCCACTAAGGTTGAAGAAGGCAGAGGATCACTTCTACAGCTAAGGAGAGCAGTCTGGGTAGGCAGCCATGTGGTAAGTGCCTTCAGTCATTACACACAGGGCTTTCTATTTTAAGTGGCACATGCACAGGCTTAGTGGCAACCTAATATTTTGCTCTAGATCCCACACATGACATTTTATTTTTATTTTTTTATTAACTTTTCTTTTTTTTTCTCAAATAGTAATTAATTCACACAGGGGTATAAACACAGAAAGGCAGGATGTGGGGAAGGGAATGACACTGGAGTGTGGGTGTTCAGGGGGAATACAGATATCTTCAGAACCGGGTATCTGCTAGGTGAAGGTTGAGGGGACAATTCACTATGACTCTGCCTATGACTCCCTTGTCCTTATCTAAGCTGGTATTGTCTGCCAAGGCTACCTATTTACAAGGTCTATGACTACTCAGGCTTGTAAATTTCCACAAAAGCTGCCTGTTGACATTAGCTTATAGCCATCTGTTTCAATGTTTTTCCACTGAGACCCAAGACTTGGTGTTAGTATACATGTATGACAGGCCTATTGCTGATTTTAGACCTATGGCTGATTTTAGGCCTACAGTGTGTAATCAGGCATGTCCCTGGCTTCTCCTCCCTTCTCTAAGTATAGAAGGGCTGTGGCGATTCTAATCTTGTGAAGGCAGGGATAGAGGCCTGACCTCCAGTACTTGAAGGGGACCTTGTAATGGCTCCAGTCCCCCTGTCGTTGTCCAGTGAGGCATGAGGGTCATACCCATCCTGATATCTTTTTCCTGGAGAGGGGACACTTTTGACATCAACCCCTATGCAGTCAGGCTTGTCCCTCAGGGAACCCAGATAGATATTTTTATCTTTTATTTATATTCCCTTGCAGTGCTTAGCCTTGCAGCCTAAGCAAGAATTCAAATCGCCTGTCAGAGGGGGTTTTGGGTGGCCCCTCTCTGCTTGGTCTAGGGGCAGAAGTTCCCCCCTTTTAGGTTGGGTGGAGATGGATTTTGGAAACACCCTGTATAAAGTAACAACCTCATCTTGAGTCTCGTGGTCCTCCATAGCTAACTTATGATAATGTATCTTGTGTAGGTTTTGCTACCAAATTATTTATCTGTTGTATCACAGAGTTAGTCCGACTATTTGAGGGCCAGGGACCAGTAGAAAAATGCAAAAAGAACCCAAATAGTAGTCCCAAGATGGAAGGAAATAGGGTTGACAACCTTGGAGAGGCTGCAAACCAATTCTTGTACCAGAATTCATCTGTCTCTTTCTCTCTCTGATTTTTCTTAGGGCCTTCACTACCTATTTCATGCTCTCTTTAACCCTCCTTGTATTGTCTATGTAAAGGCAACATTCTTCTTTGAGGGTTGTACACAGTCAAGAGCTGTATACAGTCTTTTCTATTGTACTAGAGTAAATCAAGTCCAATAAGGATCTTTGCGATTTTAGGAGGTCTCTTCAGACGGTGAAACGAGGGATTTCTTCAGATTAGTGATCTCAATCTCTAGCTGTTTGATGTTCTTATCAGTGGCCCTCCAAAGGTCTGAGTTCGGAGGCCAGCATCTGGATTAGAACTTCTAACAGCAGACATCACGGGTGATTCATTTTTACCTGGAAAGGAAAAAGAAGGGGATTCTCAGGGAGATTTCTCTTCCCTGGATGTAAATTGTTATTCATCGTATTTCACACATGGCATTTTAAAGTTTCAGATGTTGTAAACCCTCCATGGGAAGGAGATCCCACATTTTGTTCTGCAGCAGTTTTTCTAATGGGTGCTTCTCCTCATGAACATAGATAAAGCCTCAGAATTATGGACCAGAGTAGTAAGAAAACATCAAAAAGAAACAAATGAGGACAGTTTAGGGATTTCTGTGAAAGGAGGAAATATTCTTTAGCCCGAAGACAAACAATCCCAGTGTCTTCTCAGTCGGTCACATTGTGCATACAGAATCTTACACCACCACATTCTTAAGGTCCACCTGACATGGCTCAGGAATTCCCCTCTTTCCACATCCTAAGATGAAATACTTGTAAACAAAGATTTTCATCGTCAAGCTGGCTAGATAGACAAGCAGGGATTGGCAAGCTCTAGGTTCAGTGGAAGACCTACCTCAATACTTAAGGTAAAATACAGTTAAGGAAGATACCAGGGTCAGTTTCAGCTCTCTAAACTATAGCCCATGTATACTCATGCAAACATATAGTATCTACATATATATATATATACATGTGCACATTTTTCTTTTCACTGTTTGTGGTATGCATGCATGTGTACATGTATATTTACATGTAGGTTTTATATGCTTGCATGTATACCACAGTGAAAAGGAAAAATGTTTTACTTAAAAAATTTTCAAAGTTTGAGCTGTTGAGCTGGTTTATCTTGAGCATTGGATGAGTTAGTGAGAGAGATTCTGGTCTATTGTTATTGGAATTCAGTAGCTATGACAGGATTTTTTTTCCTAGTTCTGGGCTTTGTTTACCAAATATAAGAAATATAAAGTGTTTTACTGGATATGAGATGAAAAATAACAGAAAACTACAGTCCCTTAAAGTTCTTGTTTAGTTGAGGCCGTAGACCTTTGTAAGTTAAGTGTATTAAACAGTGACATAAGAAATAAGGAACATGGGGCAGGAGAGATGATGGCTCAGTGGTTAAAATACTTGCAGATCTTGCAGAGGACCAACCTATGGGTCTCAGGACCTACATGATGCTTTCCAGCCACTGGTAACTTCAGTTCCGGAGCATGGAGAGCCTACCACTGGCCTCCTCATGCAGCAGTCTCACACTGCACATGCGTTTACACATACTTGCAAGTAAAACCACTCAAACACATACAATGAAAATAAATAAGTCTTAAAAATATAAGTGGTGCAGATAAAAACCTGAGGGTCATTTAATATGTATATAAAATAATGGATAGCACCTATCTCTAGACTAAGATTTGTTTGTCTTTCAATTTGATGCATCTGTTAAGATACTGTTGGCATGTTTTATGAAAACTTCTGATGTTAGGAAAATGTGAGATATATATATACATGTATGTGTATATATATATACACTTATGCAGCAGTCTCACAATGCACATGCGTTTACACATACTTGCAAGTAAAACC